GAATACCGATGAGCGCATTGGTCGAGAGGGGCTCCTCGGCGTGAGTGACGGCATCCAGGAACGATCGAAGGTTATCCGCGGTAAAAATGAGACCAGCGCATACGAAGCCGATTTGCGAGAGGGTGATGGAGACCAGGATGAGGGCACGGAATCTCGGTCCCACAACGATAGAACCCAGGTCACCGTAACCACCACCACCATATCTCTTCCTTGTCGCTAGCAGCAACTCGAAACACAGCGCTGTAATAGCAGAAACCATGATCATGGTGATCGACGAAAACAGCATGCCGCCGTTCTTGAAGGCCTTGGGCAAGAACATGATTCCGGTACCGATGAACGCCTTCAGGAGAGTAAAGAAGGTCTTCACTTGGTCCGCATCGCCCTGAGCCCTCAGTCTCTTCGAGCTCTGTCGGCGTCCGAGAAGTGGTCTCCGCTCCCCTTGCCCCTCGTCTTCCTCTTCAACGGCAGATTCCGCATCCGACGAATCTTCATCAAGATCTTCACCAGCGAATTGGCCATACAGTTCAAGGAACGAGATGAAGTTTCGCGTAACAGGCTCCGAGATGTAGCTGACACGCTTGCTTTGCCGTTGTAAGTATTGGCGTCTCAGGCCGCCGGGCGCGAGCTGATCGCGAACGGGTAGCTCGTCATGGTCAACGTCTGAAATTGACGGAGCAGGGTTGCGGCCAAAGTGAACTGCATCAGAAAAGGTTGCTGCTCGTTGGTGCAACTTTTGCCGTCTGTTCTGTGCCGCAATCTTGTACAGGTCGCGGTGGATATCGCCACCCTGTAACCGCAACGATGATTCCGGAAGCTGGCGGTCGCCCGAGTTGGAGGCGTTATCTGCGCCATCTTCTGCCGCTGGCGTCGCTGGGTCAAACTCTGAGAAGTCGAAGCTTGGGTCTAGATGCTGCTCTAGGACCCTGGCTTCCTTGGGGTTGGCACCCGCCGTGGTCTGCGGTGTATCGGTCATCGCGGCGACAGCTTCAATGAATGTTCAAACACCACAGTAGATGACTGGAAAATATCGACGGAGCTACGCAACTTGGGCGTCTGGTAGCTTGGGCGTGGCGGTGAGGTCCAAATGATGAAACAACAGCCAATCAGGGTTTGCAAAGCTCAAATGGTCCGTGTGCCTGACATCACCGTGTTGTGAGGTTTGGCGTTTGCAGTTTGTCGTGACAGAAGTAGGAGAATGTGCGAGAAAGCAACAGCGAAGGTTAGCACAGGGGAGGAAAGCTACTTGAAGCAAAACAAGGGACGAGAATCTTCGAAGACGAGACCGCGACGGACCTGGGAAAACATGACGATCTCACTGGCGCCTTGGCACCGAGGCACCTGGGCACGTGTTGCGGAGGTTGGCCATCCCTGCGTCAGCCACGCCATCATTGGCGCAACAACCGACCGCGGCCGCATCCTAGGAGCTCAGTCCCAAGATAGCCGTTAATCAATACACATTGCCGGCAAAGCAGAAGAGCCCTTTGATCCGCACTTGACACGTTTCGTCACTGTCGACGGCACCATAAAGGCTGGAGAGCATACTGTACGTGATGGCTGCCCAACAAACCCCGAAAATCGTCTCACGATGGCCCCTCCAGGATTCGGGCCGCCTGGATACTCTGTCCCGCACCGCTCCATGCATCGCGAACCGCCCCCAGAAGGGTCCGATACCAACACCCGGCCCTATGCCATCTTCTTCTCCTATCTGTTGACATGCTTCTCTGTCGCGGTTTTCATCATCCTGAGGCTCGTCAAAAGAGCTAGCGTGCTGCGAAAGTCAACTACCGCACAGCTCCCACCAAGAAGACATGTTTGGCTGTTCAGTGCACTGGCAGTGGGCAGCTTGCTCACGACATGGACGCACATGTTCCAGTACTTCAAAGTCAGCTATCAGTCTTGGCTGATGTGGCGTAGCTACTACGAGCTTGAGCCTGACCAGAATCACTGGGGGTTGTGGTTAAAAGAGACTTCATTGTTTCGAGAGGCATGGGAGACTGTCATCATCGGATATGCGAGGTACTGGTGGTCACACCAGATCTTCTTCTTCGCATTGGGTCTAGGGTTGTATCTGGAGCAGAAAGGTAGAAGATTATACTTGTTACTTGACAACTATGACTAACATATCTAGGAATACGTCGCGGCATTCGATATACTTGGGCGTTCATGCTGCTTGGCCAGATTGTGGCCATCAGCTTCGCTACAAACCTCTTCATGCTCACCTTACTATTGAGCCCGCCGGCACCAGCTCCATTGTCACATGGTTCGCGCCGGCAAACGTGGCTGGGTCCATGGCTCCTAAACCTTTTCGCCATCTTCGCAACTGCTTATCCCGCGATGCAACTGGCAGATGAACACTACTGGCATCACCCTACACACTTCATGCCGGTACTCATGGCTCCACACATCGCTCTGATGTTTTTGCCCATCGCGCGTGCGGTTGTACCAGCCTCATCCTTCATCGAGGATATCCAATTCACCGACAAGGTCTACAGCTACATGTGGGCACTGGTCCTGGGGAATGCTGGACTGATGCTGGCATGGGCTACCGCAACAGCGTATGCCTATGGCGGTTTTGTGGGAATCCAAAGTGCTCTGCTAGAACACCCAGCAGTGAGCAGCGTGGGATACGATGTCATCTTCTGCTGGATCACATGGGCCTGTTGGTACTGGACGCAAGCAAAACCTGCTTATGAGGGTGTATCGCGGGACTCGGCCGAGAGGAGGAGCGCACATGCTGACGACGAGCCGGCCACTGCGCTGGGTGCCAGTGGATATGATGGCGGAGCAAGACATCGCTAGTGTGGTGGCTTATCGGCTGCTGGAGTTGGTTATATGACGATGCTACGTGTTGCGCGTATACGAGGAGTGGGTGTCCAGTGGTTGCATCATAGTTGATCGAAAGGGCTATTGCGATACTGCGCCTGTCGTCAGTCAGCGCTCTGATGTCGATGGAATAAGGTCCTCAAGCATACATACGGTTTGTAGTATGTAATCGTAAGCTCTTGCCTCACCCTAGGAGTATAGAGTTGCAACGGTGGCTCGAGAATGGCTTCGTAGCTCTGTTCTTAGTATTCTATGCGTCCGGCGCTCTGTATAATATTGGGTGTTGCGACCGGTCAGTTCGTATCCGGAAGGTGCTGGTGGACGCGTAGTGAATCGAGGCGACCATCGCAAAGGCAGTATCCCGATCACAGCCATTCATCTCGTAGTTGGTGTGAGGGTGTAAATCTGAAGCCGTAGACGATGTCACACCTCCGGCGAGTTTAGAATCGATAAGCTTTGACGCTAACAGGGTAACTCCGGCTTACAACCGGCCTGAACCCTTGCGTCATTGACGGAGAGCAACGTACTACTCTCCACCATCATCTTCATCGTACGAGGGTGCACAATTAACACAATATTGAATGCATCAGCGCATCACGAGGATTGTCATATACGACCTCGTACCAGGCTTAATCAGCCTTCCAAAGCAGTGCTTATGATGCCTCTCATATTGCTCACGCTCACGAACACAGCTTTTTCGCCGCACCTTTACTTCTTTCACCTGCATGTTCGGTACTGAGCTATCGATTTGACCCTCGTATTGACAGCTGATCCTCACGCTACATGCACCCTGAGGCCCTGTGCGGCTGTGGCACTTGTGGCACTTATGCAAGACTTATCCGGCAGGCTGGGGAAAGCTTCTCTCGCTAACGCGCGGGGTTGATCTATAACTGCCCTGATTGAGTTGCGCTGACCCTCATCGGGCATGCCGTGCGGTACTGCGTACGGAGCGAACGCAGCCGACTGGAAAGGATCATCGTGGGTGTGGCAAGGCGGCCAAAGCTAACGGGTAGCGGAACGTCATGGGCTGGCTGGGGCCCGTTATGGTGGAACACATGACTGCTGCGCAGGTGGAACCTTTGGAGGGAGCTGCGATGAGGCTGCGCGAATACGGCGACTACGAAGGATGATCGTGAGTATAAAGCTCGACCGTGCCGTTGCCGGTAAACTGCGCTCATCAGCTCCTACATACTCGATCAACGCCCAGCATACCTCAGACTCTATCATTGCATCGACCACCTACAAGATCAACCGACATCAATCAAAATGAAGGCCTCATCCATCGCCCTCACCCTTGCAGCAGCTGCCGTTACGAACGCACAGGATCCGTTCTACAACATCAGCTCTGCACCATTCTTCCTAGTCGTCACATCCGAAGACGGAAAGGTCAATGACACGCTAAGCGCCTGTCACGTCGGTGCTGCCATCGAATCACTCTGCCTCAGCAACGCTGGCGTAGGTGACAGCCCAGAACCCCTCGACGGCGCACAATTCCAATTCAACACATCCGTCTACTCTCAAGCACCAGAGGACGGCTTCGGCGTACCAGGCATCTTAACCTGGTGGTTGAACACCACCACCCTCGACATTCCCTCATCAGCGGCTTTCAACCTCGACCCAACCTCCAACCTTGCAGGCATCACCCTCAGCCCCGGAAGCGGAAGCGATACGACTATGCTGGCTTTCGACTCCCAGGACGAGCTTACGTATCAGGCCTACGTCCGCGGCGAGAACAACACAGGCAACTACCAGGAATTCTACCGCTGGTATGCATGCGACACGGACTATGCCAGCTACAGGTACAACAACCTGGCATGGGGATTGGGCGCGGGTAAGCCAGACAACCCAACCTGTGTCTCGGTCAACGTGACGAGGGTGTTTGTCTAGAGCGGAAGAGTGTGATGGAAGAATCTGTTCCGTAATGGTTGGATGAGAAGAGGGGAGATGGAGGAAGGCCCAATCGGGATTTACGACTTGACGTGCTACGCAACTAATGCTAATAGGTAATGACACTCTTTTGACATGCGCAATCCGTTCTACGTGTACGTTATGACAGATGCCAGTCATCGTGATGTGATCGAAGGCCGCCTCTATAGATATCTATAAGCCAGCGTCCTTTCTCCCTAGCTTTTCTGACTCAATCTGCACCTGTACGCACCGTACAGATTGCCGCCACCATGTTCAAACTTGTTCCCATCCTTCTCGCTTTCGCAGGTCTCATTCACGCTGACGCTGATTGCGAGTACGATTGTGAACCCATCTACACCATACAATCTGACCCCTTCAACCTCGTCCTCATATCCGAAGATCCTTCCCTAAACGGCAAAACACTATCTGCATGCCATGCAGGTGCAGCGATTTTCACGCTTTGCCCCACGCTTTCAGAAGAAGGGGCCCAGTATCCCGTTGTCCTAACCCACAACACGACAGACACTGCCATCACAAACGTAAGCCTTCCATATACACCTGCCCTACTTTCCCCGCCAGCCCTACCACCCACCAAAAGAAATCCATAGCCCCCATCCCCAGACCCACTAACACCGCACTCAGACCTTCGGCACCCAAGGCATCCTCTCCTGGACCATCCCCTACGACCCCTACCCCATCGACCTCTCCGTGCTCCTCCAACCCCAAGACATCGTCCCCTTGTCCATTGCCCAACTCGCCATGACCTACAGTGGCGATGGCAGCCTCTCTTTCGATGACAAAGACATACTGAACTTCCAGAACCCAATTACCTGGGCGGCGGAGAAACCTGAAATGGCTGAGTGGACGGGATACTATCGCTGGTGGGTTTGCTTCACGTACTATGGGACGGGGTATGTTAGGCAGACTTTGGTGTGGGGGACGGGAGTTGGAAAACCTGGTAAGTTTGGTGCTTTCTTTTTTCCGGTAGATGTTGGTGCTGGGGTGGTGGGACTGTGCTGACTGCTTTTGCTAGATCCGCCGAGTTGTGTTAAGGTTGGGGTTAAGAGGGTGTTCGTGTGAGATTGCCCGAATCGTCACCAGACCCCCAGTCTGTGTCAAGGGCGCATGCTCCTCTTCGTCGATCAAATGGTAGATGAAGTTCGCGGCGAACGTGGCTGTGAAGTGCACCTGCGTCGATGTCGCGGATTCTGGGATCAGTAGAACGATGGTAGGAGGAAGCACGGCTTCTATGTGAAAACTAATGTTGATTATCCTCCGGGTTAAAAGCCCATTTCATTGTCTCCAATGTCGGAGTGTTCCGTAGGCTCGGCCGGTATGCTGTTTGTTGTTGAGGCTAGAACGAGCCCTCCAAGTGCCCAGGTGCCCTCCAGGAGTCGTGTGCAAATGCCTCCGGAAATAAGGAAACAAACACCCCTAGAGAGCAAAATGTCGACGAGAACTCCGGTGGAAGTAGTGTGCCTAGTCGGCCCAAAGCTCGCATTCATGGGCTGAAGCATTTGGGGTGGACTTCCGTGAGGCTTGATCCTCAGTCCCTGAAGCTTAAGCGGGTTAGCGTGTCACGCAAGGCTGGGCGGCTTCCACCTGGGCATGTCGCGTACTCAACCCCAGCCTTTCTCTACAGGCCCACAGCGAGATCAGCATTCAGCACTCTTTTCATCGTTCAATGATCCTATCGGTCGTGGCTCGCAGTCTTTGAGGCTAATGACGCGTCAAAATGCCTCACGACGCGGCTCTTGAGACCCGCGTACTCCAAAACCGCCACAAGCCCTTTGCTGCCAACGCGAGCCCTACTGCAGTCAATGTCTACTACGTCAAACCATTGCGTGGCTGCTATTGGACCCATAAATCTCCGATTAACGCGAGAGGCGTTCCCCAGGACGGATAGGCCTTCGAGATGGTCGCATTCAGCCTTCCCCGCGTAGATCCGACACAAGGTGTGATGGCGCTCGAGGCGAGCAATGCCGTCATCGTGCTTTCCGGCGAACGTCAGCTAAGGTGCACCACCAACGTAGTGCTGGTGAGGCAGACTGTCTTGACCTCGTCTCTCGATAAGTGCAGCGCATAGCATCGATTGTATGCCGACTTTGCATAACATATGCTAACTAGCACTTCGTCATTCTTTCGCATCGCATCGCCTCCATGATTCCTACATTGTTTTCCTTCTCCTTGGCTCTACTCACAATACCTATAACCGCACAGTCTTCTTCTTCCTCCGCATCGAACACACCTATACCTAGCAGCGCTACCGAAACGATCGTCGATGTCTCCAGTACCTTTACGAGCACCTACTCCGCCGACTTCTCGAGCGGTCTCCCGGGCATTGTCCTGAGCACGTTTACATCCGGACGGCAGAATGCCACCGCTACCTCGTCGACGACAACACAAGAGGTGACAGCCATAGTCGGGCTGTCTCCTTCGACCGAATCTTCAAACGGCACTGCTTCAACAACCACGACATCTACTCGACCAAGTCCGACTAATACTCAGCCATGCAATGGATACGTCGAGTTTTGCCAGAGGAGGTTTTCCAACATCTCTATGGTCGTCGCACATAACAGCCCATTCGTGAGGCCGCACAATGCAGCCAGCAACCAAGACTACCCAGTGCTTAATCAGCTCAATGATGGAATTCGAGGGTGTAAGCGCATCATACACGATACTAGAAATCTCTGGCTGACATCCGACAACAGTGCAATTCGAGACCCAAAAACCCAACGAGACCTCCGCTATACGCCTCTGCCATACCTCCTGCAGCCTGCTCGACGTGGGCACCCTCGAATCATACCTCGCAACAGTCAAAGGCTGGCTCGACCAGAACCCTTTCGAAGTCATTGCTATCATGATGGGCAACAATAACGGTCAGGATACCCGAAACCCAGCGACAGACTATATCGCACCTTTTCAAAACTCAGGAATTATGGAATACGTATGGACACCGCCTTCGGCTAGTCTGAACCTGACGGACTGGCCCACATTGGCCGAGATGATTATTAGGACTAAGCGTGTCGTGGTGATGTTAGACTATGGCGCGGACCAGGAACAAGTCCCGTGGCTGCTCAGCGAATTCAACTATCAGTGGCAAACACCCTTTTCGCCAACCGATCCCGCGTTCCCTTGCACGGAGCAACGACCCCCAAATCAGCCAGAAGAAGTCTCACGCGAGCGCATGTACGTGATGAACCACAACCTGAACATCGAGGTCAGTCTCCCAGGCGTGAGCAGCATCCTCATACCAGCATACTCCCTCCTCGATGAGATCAATGCTGTTTCCGGAAACGGTAGCGTTGGTCTTAATGTACAAAACTGCGAGGAAATGTGGAATCGTCCGCCGAATTGGATACTCGTCGACTACTACAACTACGGCAACTTTAATGGATCTGTCTTCCAGGTTGCTGCGACGGCCAACAACGTTACGTACAACGAGCAGTCGTGCTGTGGCACAGAGGGTACCAGCGCGGCGCATGCTCTGAGAAGCCAAGGGCTGTCCATAGCTTCATTGTTCGTTGGCGCTTATCTGTTGTGGTGAGTATAGTGCAAGGCAGCTCACTTAGTCTTGGAGTATTGGTATAGCGAGGCGTTTCTGGGGGTTGGGTTTGTCTCCATCTGCCGTACCGCTTGAGTACCGTCCGTTCTTGACCAATCTAATTGTTGTTCTTTGTAGCCTTGGCGGTGCGTTGCTCAGTGTGCTCGCCTGCATGATGGCTGGTCGACTCAATCCAGAGACGATAACATGGTCTTCCTCTCAGAGATCACCGATCCAGTCGCAATCTGAGTGACCTATACTATACCTATACGAAGAAGCATTTCAACGAAAAGGGTCAGGAAACCTCGGCGGTTGCGCCTGCAACTTCCATCATGCGCTTCGAGCGAGAATGGGCGCACTGACCGCATTAGGAGCTCCGGTTTCCAAGACCTTCTCTTGACATGATTTTCTGCTTGGAGCCTACTGACCTATTCACTTTAAGCGCTGACTGGACTATTTATTCGCCAACTCCTCCCTCCTTTTGTCAATACTTGCGCCCGCATCACGGATCAGCATTACTAGCATCTTTGTCCTCAACCTCAACCTCAACCTCAACCTCCACATACGAACGCTACCAACAATGTCGTCAGAAATACCTGACTTGGAGACCCGAATACTCGCTCTGGAACGCATGGCGATAGCGGATAGTGGAAAAGGAGAGTCCATCAACCGCTTCAACAGCTTACGATACTGTCCGCCACCCTTCCATAAACTACAATCGCTCAACTACGGACCGAACAAGCACACGTACGACTTCGAACCAGCTCCTCGCCAGAACGACGCAGTCATGTGGTACATTACACTTCTTATTCGCGACATGAATGCGGACCATATCGGCGTCGCAGACATGCATTTCCGAGTAGAGCCTACCGACATGTCCGCGCCGTTCTGGCTGCTTTTACCTGACTACACTACGTACTGCAGCAAACTGTATACCTTCATGGATAGATTCAATGAGTTTCCCCTCACTGCTTGGGTAACCTTTTCCCCAGGAATGCCCGGTCCGACAGAGGATAATCTACACTTAAAGATCGGTACAGAATGGATCTTGTTAAAAGACTGGTTGCTTTCCAGCCAGACGCCCGGTGAAAACTTGGTTGGCGAGAGGGGCTACAAGGCGCAGCGCACATGTTGGAAGCTCAATGGGAAGCACTTCCGGCTCGCCGACCTCCCGACCGAGATGCGCATGAAGATTTTCGAGTTTGCTCTCGGTCCTCGAATTTATCCTTTGACTAAATCCAAGGACGCTGAGGTTTGTCTCGGCCTGGGTTTCCGCAGTTGGCATGACAGCAGTCAAATCGATCAGCGCCACCCCTCACGGCTGTATGGACGTGAGCACACAGTTGCAGGGTGCTCCGCTTACGAGCCCAATCTTGCCGTCTTGTCTATAAACAGACAGACCTATGGTGAGGCTCTTCAAGCTGGCTGGGAGGACACCCGAAAGTGCTTCTTCTCACCGATTCAGCTCAGATCAGTTCTTGAGGCGGGTACCAAGCCGAACTATAACTGGCTCAATCATCTCATTCTCGACTTCACGATGTCCGATTGGTTCAGTTTCTTCGGTGTCGGATTTCGTGACAACATTAGTATGAATAACGGTGTGTCTCTTGGACCTATACTCCCTACGTTGGATGGACTGTCAAGTCTTCAGCTTTGGTTTCGAAGCCCAGACGACGGAGCCGCTTACTATCCTTACGGGATGCGTCTTGTCGATAGGTCAATAATGGTCAGCTTTGTCTGTTGTCAACGTACAATGGTCGACTGGATCATGACATTCGCTTGGCCATTTGTAAAGGATCTGCCAAAGGTGAGACTGGGTGGGATCCTGAAAAAGGACACAAAGGACAAGTGGAATGAACTCCTCGCGCTGCCTGCAAATGACAAGGATGGCGTAATGGACCACGCTGCTGAGCTAGCGGCCATTCTGGATACCCCTTCAGCAGATATGTAAGCATCTACTCGTCCTCAAAAAGCTTCCCTCTATGGTTACTTGCTAACAATATTGATAGCCCACCTCCATGCTTTTGTCGCACACCTTGCAAGACTAGACACGGTAACCGTTACATTTCCGACTTTCCATCGAACAAATTACCTCCGCCTGACGATTTCGACTGTGAGGAATAAGACGATGCTTCTTGAGCGAGCCAACACTGGGATCGTGTCATCCGTATCTCGGAAGACCAAGGCATCTAGTCCAACAAGCTCGTCGCAAGGCGGGATTACCTGAATCAAAGGACTGGAGGGCTACAAAAGACATGGCCAAACGCAAATAGCCACTGGAGTTATCATAGAAGGTGTCGTAATCGAAGATGCCTCTTCACCGGACGAAGATAGAGTGGAGCTTTAGAGATCAAGATCGCAATCTGCACACATCAAACAAGACGAGTATGAACATGAAACTCACTGATCTGTTCGCCACATTGGACCTCGAAGCTAGCTTTCAAGACCATAAACATATCAACGACTTACTTCATCATGCTTTATTGCGCCCTGAGAGACTCGCAGGCTTCAAATACGCCTTCAACATCGCGTATGGGTGGCCTCGCAAAAGTTTTGTTGCCACGACCTAATGCACTAGGTATCTTGATCAGCCGTTCTGTATGGTTAGTAGCCCAACCAACACGGAAGATATCAGAGAGAGCAAAGTGAAGCCTCCGTACCCGCCAGTCCATTCCCTACTACTACTGCCTACAGCGGGATGCACAGACCATCTCCATTCTCTAGCGCTAGTATAGCCTCCCTATACATACACTCGGATTTACCAAGCCCTAATCTACCAAAAGTACTCATTTACAAGGCCCATCGGCTTCCTCAACTCCAACACGATGTCCGAAATGGCTGCTTCTGGTCTCTCCGCGGAGCCTTCCGACCCTGACTATCACTCACAGTTAGGTACCGAACATGACATGGCTAGTCCTACTCTTCCCCGGATACCATTGTTCGTACCATCTCAGTATTGGAATACACACGTACATTCGCCCCTCGGCTATCACGGTTATCCCATTCAACAGTACTCGAGCGGCTTCGAGGTGACCCCCTCTGGCCTACTTGATCCCTCCTACGACCCCTGGCAGTACGAGTACGAGATCGCTCCTTCGAACGCGGATACTTTCGGCTCCGCCACCCAACGTTTCAACCGAGACAACTTCTTCGAAACCACTGGCATCGCAATGAGCTCCAAGCTTACCGCCACAGCACCCCCCTTCGTCCCCGTCAAGTCCTCAAAGCTCAACGCAGCAGCACCAACCTTCTTCTTGAGCCGCCTAGCAATCTTCGACCCTCCAGCCGACGACGATCTCGCAAAGCGCCCTCGCAAGTACAACCGCGTCCTCTCCGATGCGCGCAACGACAAGATCACCTGCGCGCTCGAGATGATGCAATGTCCACGCGATGGACAAGTCGGCCGCTTCACCGACGAGACCACGTACGAGTTCAACAAAGGATGGCACTTCAACGATCCCGTACTCGCTGAGATGTATCACACGATGAATAGGCCGAAGAAGCACGACTTTGCTGCCTTTGCCCTGCGAGTCAACATCCGACCTGTCAACGATGCGCCGCCGCTGTGGCCGCCTCACATGAATCTCTTCGACATCAAGTCTTACTACTTTGAGGTCGTCGAGAAGGATAGCGTGAAAGAAGCGAGGTGGGTTACCATCTTGCCGAATGGCTCACCACCGACTGCTGAGACTGTCCACATCTACGAGATATACAAGAAGGAGTGGGTGTCTTTCAGTGACTGGCTCGCGAAGAATATTAAGTCACGCAAATGGCTCGGTCGCCTTGGCTATCACCTGCAGTTGAGGTGGTACAAGGGCAAGGGCAGCAAACGTCGCTTCGAGGACTTTCCGGCTGAGATCCGAGAGAAGATTTACAAGGCCGCGCTTGGTGGTGAAGTATATCCGCTGAACAGTTTGTGCACCGCTGAAGAGTACACCTGCTTCTGGCCCGATGGAGAGCCCGAATCTGAAGCTCAGCTAACGCTGGGGCTGGGCTATCACCCCGGTTTGTTTATGCGTCTAAAGGGTGAGGCATTGTTGGCGTCCCCATGGGATGAAAACCGTGTGCCGGAAGATCGACCTCCTGTGCACAAACCGAGTCTCTCGCTTTCGGCGGTGAACTCCACGATCCGCAACGAGTTCCTCCATTTTGCCTGGGTACGAATGCGTAGCCGGTTCTTTACACCAGACCTGTTCGTTCTGGCCATTAAAGCGTGGGCGGGTCCAGCGATGGCTTACCAGAATCTGACTAAGATCGAGTTGAACTTCACGAATGTGGAGTGGTTTGAGTTCTTCGGCGTTAGTCTGCTTTATTCTCCGATCGCGATTACTGCTTCTGAGTCAATGGGTTCTTGTCTTCAAAAGCTTGACAACCTCCGTGACTTACATCTCCGCTTTCGGACACCATATGACGGCTACCAGGGCAGCCCCTGGGGCTGTAGACCCGATAAACATCGATTGCCTCGATATGGAGGAGAAGATTACATTTGCTGTCAGCGTACGATAGTAGACTGGATTTGTACCTTCGCGTATCCCTTCCTGATTAATAAGTGCAAGGAAGAGAGCTTGGGGGAGAGATTAACGGTGACGTTGACCGGTGCTGTGAAGACGGTTACGAAAGAGAAGTGGGAGGCGATCTTCAAGGGCCAGCGCCATCACGACCAGGAAGCGGCGTTGAAAGTCATTCTTGATACCCCGGATGAGGAACTGTGAGTAACAAGGTACCTATGATTTGTGTCAGACGTATACTAATCCTCCAATAGACCTCCGAGATGTAGCTGTGGAACATTGTGCGCATTCCATGACGAGAATCGTCACGAGTACTACTACTACGAGTCTTATTTTAGGCGTGGCGATTGGTTCAATCCCAATACTTAGATGCGGGGCTAAAGGGATTAGAGTAAATGTATGACCAATGTGGAACGAGTCGCGGGATTCGAATGCGAAGGAAAGCGGAGGTATAGTAGTAGGAGACTAAGGATACATCTTTGAGACTACCATGTAACTCGTTTGGTTGGAAGTGTGGCGTCTCTATCATTCTTTCAATCAAATGATGTCCATCATAGTACTCATCATGCTAAGGTCGCGCATGCAGTAGGATCGAAGGTGTCGTAGTGCACTCGCATGCCTATTCCAGATGATTAGAATACCCACAAACAGTTCATGTGGCAATTCTGTACTTACTGACTGGCAATGGCACCCACTCATCCTTAGCCTCGCTCAAAAAGCTTACAGTACCCTCTTGAACCTCCCGCCTCAACGTTTCTTGCGTACCTGGCCCCTTTCTGAGACCTTCCATCCGAGCAAAGATACGCAACTGAGTGACTAAACCAGCAACGATGATGGGCCTGGTCAGAGCTCCGTGCAGCCCGTCGATGAATGGTAGATATAGCTCGTGTGGACGGTCGAGGTTGATGTTGTCGGGGTCAGGAAAGATAGCGGGATCGCGAGATGCAGTTGCCACGTCGAGGATAAGGTCGTCACCCTTGTTTATACCCTCTGCGTGTCGCCAGTCGCTAGTAGTGAGAAAGGTGTTAGGGATGCGGAGGAAGCCAGTTGCGGGTGTAATAAGGCGCAGAGCCTCAAGCACGTATGCGCGCAATACCTCGGAGTTTGCTGGTGTGATATCTTTCGCCAGTTTCTGAATGTCCGGCCAGTGCGTAGAATGGTAAGGTTCCGAGAGGAAGAGATCGATGATTTGGCAGAACTAGTAACGATCAGCAGGGGCGTATGCATGAAGCGACTTCTAGGCTTACAGCAAAGGTGCTGAACACGACAAGATCAACAGCAAGTATGACCACTAGAGAGACAACTTCTTTGACCTTTGCCCCATTGTCGAAGAGCCGTTGCATCACTTTCGCTCCATGGTCTGGCATGAGATTGCGCTTCGCATGTCGTCGCTTGCGAGGATCCGGAAACTGCACAACGGGTGATGCTTTCATTCCTTCACAAACAACCCTGACCTCTTTCGACATTTCATCGCTTGCAGTGATTGCATCCCTCCGGAGTGCGGCAGACTTCGCAGGGTTGTTGTCTAGATGAACAAAGTGAAATACTGCTATCATCTTGCTAAAGAGCTGCTTGTCATCAAAGCTGGCCGTTGAATCTTGCGAGTCGTTGATCGGGATGTTGAACAGACACGCAGCAAATTGTGTCCAACTGCGAGCTGCCACGTCTTTGATCGCGTCTATTTCGGCCACTTTGAAAAGCCACTTGCTGTTGGTTAGCACGAGCTGGGTGGTTTTCAGGTTGAGGAAGTGCGCAAAGATTTCCACAGACTCCTCTGGGCCGAGTATAGCTTGTCGAATAATGTCTTGCTGTTTTATGGCAGCGCTGGTGTGACCAAGCAGAACGTGTGGTTGATACTCCAATTGCCGCAAGGTATGAGTCCAAGCTGTCGTGTACAAAGTCTGGTCACGAAGAATACGGAGGATCATCTTGTAATCAGTGATGACTGTGGGAGGCGACCCGTAGCGAGGCTTTTCATAGCAGAAATCTGTCTCGTGTCCGAGAGACTTCTGTCGTCGTCTCATCTCCAAAGGTGTGGTCAGCGGGTAGTGCGCGTAAATCGAGTTGCCACGATAGTATTCGGGAAAGACTCTCATCAGTAGCTTGTACATGACGCCTCCGCCATCGATTGAGTATTCGCTGGAAGCTGCGTTGTACCCAAAAGCTGTCAGGTGGTGCGGGGTGTAGTCCACGGTGTAGAATCGATCCCCCCGAATAAGAGAGAGCGCATGTGACACCACTGCTCGGGTCGCAGTCGTTCCCGCACACAGACCCGATCCCGGAGTCATTGGAGCAGTTGGCTCTTCCAGAATAGTTCCGGCATATAGCTCAACGTTCTCGACATCCTCGTACAAGACTTCGAGCGCGGCAGCGACATCGGGATCGGGATGGATATCGGTGAACGAGGTGTGGGATGTCATGCCAAAGAATCTCCTGGTCTCATTGAGAGAAGCCACACCCCACTGTCGACCTTGCTCGATACTCATTACCTCGATGACCTTCAACGCCAAAGGGACACGATGTGGGCCGAAGCTCATGGCAACTTCATCCGTGGCTTCTGTGAGTATTTGAACGATATCCTCATCGCGAAAGTAGCCATCATTCTTCCTTTCGAGACCAGCGAAGACACGTCGACCAGGGTCGGCAGGCGGTATAGCAGCATGGCGACGCATGCCAGCTCGCATGTCTTCCAATGTCAGATGGCCAATTTTCATATCTGGACATATCATAGACATGTGATCTGTGAGCCAGTCCTCGTCCTTCGTCGATATAGTCGAATGCCACCGATAGATCATGTTGATCTCGGCGCTTGTCTGGTTGCCGCGGGCCTTATCAACGTCTGTCTGCCCGATAATACCCTCTATCTTTGCTCGCGGATCCAAGGTCACCGAAGAATCTACGCACTGTAGATTGAGGATTGTGCGCACGTAGTCTTTCAGGACAATGTTGATGTATAATCCCGTCGTTACCAGCCGTGCAGTCTGGAAGAGGTCGTTGTCGCGCTTGCTGAGAGCTCGCTTGTAAAAACCAGTGTCAATTCCAGCCGCGTTGCAGGGCGGGCTGAATCGTCCGTTCTCGTTGATGATGGCCAGTTGCTCAACAACAATGTTGTGAAACCGCGAAAAGCATACGATCAGAGCAGAGGACTACCGATAATGAGTAATTGCACAACAAACTTAAGCTCGTATCTTACCGCTGCTGGCCGGCTAAGGATCCTTGTATCAGCAAAAGCATCAGGCTTCAACTTCCCATCGACGAAGGTGCGAACAGAGCTCTGTGCTTCCTCTGATTCCCCGTATAGTGACGATAGGTCCAAGTATGAAGATGTCATGGCCACATCGTTATCTTCGTCGCCTGTACGAAACACATCGCATACCATGACAGCCGCGAAGGCAAAGAACAGACTCGATAGTTGGCTGGGGTGTGCCTTTGGCTTGGCTTCTCGCGCGAGCAGTGTATCGAAGAGCAGTTCTGGATCGGGAAGCTTTGTAGGTATGTGTCTTGGAGTGACCATGCGCGCGTAGTAGGAACCGGCCTTGCCGACATTAGGAAGATGGATGTTGTTGTTGCTCCCATCAGCGGATCGATACTTGTCTGGCTCATGTCAGTATTGGAGAACGAGACGGAGCAAGGCGAAAATACATCGACCCCCTAGTGATGAATACACCGGCTGTTCCATGTCCCTGCAGAACGTTTTGAGCAAACTACTAGTACTGGTCTCATCAAGGGTAGATGATGCCAGGAACTGTACGAGCTTCTCCTGTCATATGTTGTTAGCTGCGGATCTTTCCACGTTGAGGCAGTCACTTACATCTTGTGCGCTATCATCAGACATAACACTACGAGTAGTGCCACTGAAAGAACCGCTTGTTTCGTGATTACTGGGACTGGCGTGGCCACTGGCGTCCTGGGCCAGTTCCTGAAGGGGACGCATCGGACCGTTGTTAGTCGGCAAAAGAGTGCGTAGGTAAAGGTATAATAGAGTGTATGTCGAAGTTGAGTGTGGCTGACATGTAGCTGGCACGAGAGTGAGGTCATGCTGTGGCGTTATCACTACCTTATCGCATGGCCTGACGGTATCCACATGGGATGATTTCATCTCATCGCCAAGGAAACGGGGTTGGTTGGAAGAAGTAGTCGCGAGGTAGTACATGAGCAAGTGTAGGAAGTCTCAGCCACCGCCTCATCCCACATGACGCCACCGCGCTCTCTTACAGGGCAGGTGCTGCCATGAGATATAAACGTCATCCGAACGATCGAGGAAACACGAGAGCGACGGATTATCTGGATGCATTAATCTGAATACACCAAGAGTCGCCTTCTGATGTTCTGTTGCGATTCTTGCGCACAGATAAGGCTAATGACCCAGCACCTGTCCATGCCGCGGTTTCTTACAAAGCTCCGTCATCTCCAGTCTCAGCGTCGGTATCGAAGTCACGGGATAGTCAGGATTCTCCCACACTACTCCGTATCTTAATCGTTGCTCGCCGCATTCTTTGAGCAGTCCTCTGACCTCTGCATTGGGATGCGACTCTACAAGAAGCGGCGCGTTGAAGGCTTTTGCGATTTCGATTGGTGAGAGCGAGACCTCGCGGCCTAGATGCCACCAGCCCGCTAATACTGTGCAGACACAGCCCGTGGCTACGAGCGTGATGCCGATGGCAATGGCGAGGAATTGGTATTGACTCTTGAACACGACCTCTTGTGCGGTTTGCTCAATTTCGATCGTTTGTTCGAAGGTAGGCTTCCTCTCTGATTCATCCATCGCCACGAAGGAGGGCCAGAATTCGTATGGAAGTTTCGGTATCACCTTCAAAATCTCACCCTTGGTTTGAGGTATGTATAGTGCGGTTCGAAAAGCCAGCTCGCGTACTGACGTCAAGACGTCGGATGTCGGATCTGGAAGCGTCATGCCGCAAAACCCGGCTTGCAAGCCCACAAAGTCTTTCATATATCTGAGTACAGTCGTTCCAGAGGTGTAGCCTCTCCAGCCTAGAGGACCGCCAGCGATATACGTGTACATGTTCGATTGCCACTGTGCATCCAGATAAAGATACACGCCAGAATAAGTGCTCTGAACTAGAGTGTCACGATCTGACTTGATGAAGGGTGAGTGAAGAGCCTGAACTCGGTCTGATTTCCATGAGCTATCCGGGTCCAGAGTGATCGAATCGTTGCTCAATATGAAGGGATATTCCATGATGGCAGGTCGTAGCTCGCAATTGGTTCTGTTGATCAGCGCGTCACACCCCTCGTCTCCTTTGTAGATTGCAGTGAAGTTCATGATTATCTCTTGACTTTCATTAAAAAGACGAGCGTTTGTGAAGTTTGACCAGAAGATATCCACCGACGTCTGAACACTGCCTGAAAAAGCAGAATAGTTGTAATTGCCGATGCTATCCTGGACACAACGCATGTCGTAGCCGGCGCCACGTAATGTGCCCCTACACAAGCCTTCACAGCCTGAACCCGAGACGTTCATAGTTTGACCATCAGTATGCTGCATGGCAATTTCGCTGAATGGGGGTGACATCAAAGAAGGCCACTCAAGATTGCTGCTCACACCAGTATAGCCCATGGGAATTTCTCGCGCGACGGGTATAGTGATGTTTTTCATCTCAATCCGCGTTCGCTCATGAATGACAGAAGCGCGTTGCAAAAGAGGTCCGTTGATAGGCGCCAGCGTAACAGCGAGTCCAGCCAAAGCGACAAGATTGAAAGACCGTCCTGATCGCAGTATCGGAAAGATTCCATGCCCGAATGCCCAGATATCGTGCAGATCCTTGACTTTGGCGTCGCCATTCAACGCCTTTACCCACCACGCAATGGTAACGGCTTGCGCGAGGGCGTATTGCAGCGCAATATTCGCGATAGTGTACGATATGGCAAGGCAAACAGTGGGTTGGTACTTCCAGGAGGTAATAGGCTGCCCATCTGATGCGGTAATGATGTATATCATGCTGACAGACGCAGCCATCGCGATGGCAAGAGCGAAAATTCCAGAATGGGGAAAGCGGCGCCAGAAGCCGGTCTTCCAGGAGGATGAATGTGGGGGCTGCGATGGCTGCGAGTCCTTTTCTTGTTCGTTGAGTAGTCGTTTCTCCATGGTTGTGGGAAAGCAGGAACGATAGAAGTGATTTGGATAGTGTATTGGCCGACACATATGCGGGCTCAGTCTGCTTAACAAGAGGCTGGCAGAGATTGAGACCGCAAGTACCCCCGCGATGGTGTACTGCGTTGATACGGAGGGGTACTGCAGACTGGACATGTGTACAACTGTGCCACATTGGCACGCTACTTGAAACGCTTCCATCTGCAGTTGGTCCACACCATCAGCGAAACGCAATCAACTATTCGTCAGTTCAAAAAATGTAGATCGTCATACCTGCCTGTAGAGGCCGGGTACAGCCCAGGACCAGGAATAACTTTCGTAGAGCCTGTCGCTGTAAGTGAGGGGTACATACGTTGTATACAGCCACACAGGTCCAGGCACAAAGATGTACTACAGATGATGTCAGACAGGCACTGCGATTGGATCACAGTACATAGATCTGGACAAGGTCAGTATCGAAACAGACAATAGCGGACCAACAACCCATACCGATTGCGATATCAATTGCGACCCCCATGCAAGGAGGCGTGTTAGCGGAATGAAAATTGCCAGGGTAACTGAAATCGTTCGCGGAGATGCCAGCAAGACGGAGTTGGTGCTCAAATTTTGGTTCATGGGTATCTCATCTACATATGAAATCGTACCGTATCGCTCGTAGCGTCCGGGTGCTCATCCTCGTTCGAACCGTCGTTCCCGGTCGGACCGTTGCCGCAGATTCCCGCCTCGTTTTCGTCTCGTTCTCGCCTCGGTCTCGTGCCAACACCTAGAAGACCATCTCATGCGGCCTATCGCTGCTCCTCAAAGCGAAGCTAGCACCGAGATAAGACTCCAGATCAGGAGTCCTCTTGATATTAGCCATAAGCGCCTTGTCCACCTTCTTCTGGTCTTCTATCCGCTGAGGATCCGTCTCCTTCTTTGCGGGTGTCTCGCCGTCCTTGAAGAAATCGTCCTCGCCCTTGCCGTCCTTCTTCTCGCGCGCCCAGTACTCGTCCTTGCTGACGCGCGCGACGACCTCCTCGTCCAGGCCGGCGATGTCGACGACGGTCGAGGTCGCGATGACGTAGCGGTGGTTGACGCGACGCAGGGGGACGCCGTTGGACTTGAAGGGGCCGGTGATGAGGAGGACGCCTTGTTCGAGCTGGCGCAGGAGCACGACGCGCTTACCGCGGAAGCGGCCGGAGAGGAGGATCAGGACGGTTCCTGGGGCGAGCGACTCGCGGTACTTGGTGGGGTGGGCTGTCTTGCGCGCCTGTGAATTGCGTTGTTAGCTTGATACTCGCGACAACTTCAACATATGCATCTGTGTGTCTTTTCCGCAGCTCAAAATTTATCGCGAGAAATGCGCATACCTTCTTCATCTGCGCCTCCTCCTCGGCAGCGTAGTACTTGGATGCTTTCTGGTCGGCCATTGTGTTGATTTGAGGCAGAGGAAGTCTGGTAGTCAATTAGTATGTGTCGCATGCAAATTTGCTAGACCAAACAGAATAGCCCGGTATCTTCTTACATTTACTTGTGGTGATGATGATGTCGTCGTCGCGATTTCAAGGTCGAGATGTGCGAGCGCTCGCTAAGATCAGCCCTACGGCGCTAGTGGTCCCCGCAAACCATCGTTCACATGTGAACACTGGCACAATTATCTCCGTGATGCGGACGCATGCCGTAATGGTAACACACTGTAGCAAGTGTGATCGCAAGGTTGAAGCAAAGATACCAGTGGAGTCGCATATACACCAAGTCGCATAGATCATGAGCGTGTATTGTACATTAATCCGAGACCATCCGCGTGTGAAGGTCTTTAGATCGTGGGTATCAGCAGCCCATTATTTCTTCTCGGCCGGGCTCTGCCTCTGCCTCAGCTCACCCATCTTTCCAACAGCCTTGTCCATGCCACTCCACTTCCGCACCAGATGATTCACACCAACAGGCAGTACACCAAGGATCTGGATATACTTTGAGTACAGAGGCAGCGCAATCTCGCCGCTCTCACCCCTCTCGATCAGCTTGATGATGTCCTTTCCAATATCGGCAGGCGTAACCACAGGTGCTAGGAAGTTGCTTGGGGTCTTGAGGCCTGCAAACATTGTTGTACCCATCTGACCAGGTTGTACGAGGATTGTCTTGATGTCCTTTGCGGCGGGATTTTGTGCAAGCTCCGCGCGAAGCGAGTGGTGCAGCGCCAGAAGGGCCGCTTTGGAAGCTGTGTATGCGGATAGGTTGGCGGCACCGAGGTGGCCGAGAACGGAGGAAACGGTTACGATGGTGCCGCGGCCTTCCTTCAGCATGTGTGGGAGGATTGTACGGAGAGTGGTGAACTGAGACAGGGTGTTGACGCGGAAGGTGCTGGTGAGGTGTCAGCAGATGTCAATAAGGATTTCAGAGTATACATACCGCTCCACATCTTCCGCGGTTGAGTCGAGGATTGACTTGGTCTGCACCATACCAGCGTTGTTGATCAAGATCGTCGGAGCGCCGAGCTATAATCGTTAGCAGAGTACGGTCTCCTAGCAGAAGAGTACTCACGTCGTCGACAATCTTGGCTACGGCAGCTTCAACCTGCTTTGCATCGCTCACGTCGCATTTGTAGTAAACCACGCCCTTGTTCTCCGCCTCATCTTCGTCAACCTCCTTCATGTCCAGGACGGCGATGTTGGCATTGCGCATTCCATACGTCTCTGCCAATAGTCCACCCAGACCGTCAACACCGCCGGTTATGACAATAACCTCTTCTTCTAGGTCCACCTCGCGCGGTGATCCCCATGCGATCCGGTCGCTGATGAGTCCGAAGATGCCGGTGACAGTCATGAGCATAGCCCAAGCCATGGCAATGCGCATTTCGATGTTCTCATAAGGCGTGTACTGCGCGCGCAGACACAGGACCACGACCCATGATACGAATGGGTGGAAGACCGTGTATCCGAGGACGTACCATATCAGGTCGACGTTGATGTAGTGGTGCCATGGTTCGTCGGGTCGGTCGAAGCTCTTCGGTAGCTGGACGGGTACTTCTCTTATTGAGGAAGACATGGTGGGCATGTCGATACAAGAGGATTGTTGAATCATGGAGGATGGTGGGGCGCGTCGGCGCGTGGTTGAGGCTTGGACGCGAATCGGACGTTGAAAGTAGGTAATACGGCGACAATGCTACCCGGGAACGAAAAGTGAAATGTGTGAGAATGCGCAATTTGCGCAAACAGTATACGGGGCCATTCTGTTCTTATTGTACTGTCGCTGATGCTGAGGTTTGCAGTGTTTCATTCGCGCCTCAGGTCTCCAGGACGCTAGCCGGAGCGCTTCAAGCTGTGAGTGAGGGGCTGAGTAAGCGACTTCCCTTGCCGTGCGCATCTGTCCACACCAACCCCAAACCCACAATACAACCACCACCATGGAGTTCAAGAGATCCCCCATCGTGCATGGCGGCCTATGCGACCGTTTCTGTGGTAATAACGCGATGCTGAAGTCTCTTTGTGCCAAAGCACGCACCCGCGGGGAAGTATCACCGCCGTGCGCTGACGCGCTTCATCTCCTGGTCACCAGATACCGGCCCCGGGGCTTCCCTTTAACCGACCGTGGTTATTGATCGTGCTCTCCTTCTCGAGATATGGTGGCAGTTCATACTGGTAAGGAGAAGGCGATTCCCGAATTGGACCTGCGCCAGGAAGCGATCTTGCGAGATCGTGATCGCCCTTCCAGCTACATGAGCAAGCACCATGAACCTCGAAGAATGCTTCCACACGTTGCTAGCATCTAAGAATTGGCTACGGCAGCAGGAGCCTCTTCAAATGATTACTCACCGATATCTCTGGGGGTCTAACAGGAAGCTAGGCTAGCAATAGGCTTGGAAGATCTCACGAAATGCATGAGCTACCTTCCAACGCATCCGGCGCACCTCCCCAAATCTCTCCAACTTATGGCAGCAGCGGGCGATGTTACAACTTCCTGTGTTCGTTATGACGACACGTAAACACACGTTCTACCGCTCATAAACTCCGTCTCCCATCCCGAGTCTCTTCTTCTTCTCCAACCCCTTCTCCAGTGTTTTCTACTGCTACTGCTGACTGCATCATCTCTCATACCGAACCCTCTCAACACAATGCTCGGACAAGCCTTCTTCGTCCTCGCACTCGCGGCTCTGGCTCAGGCCGGAGCTATCGTCACCAACCATTGCCCATACACGGTCTACATCTGGTCTGTACCCCAGTGGCTCAGCAGCTCACTCACCGAAAACGTCCCTCTCAAGCCTAATGGTCAGTACCGAGAACCATGGCACTTTGGGTCCCCCCTCAATCCTGGTGTTGCCATCAAGATCTCCGACAAGTTCGAAGGCATCAACAGGGGCGCCAACGAGATCGACTTCGCCTACACGATCGATCTGAACAACCTCTACGATATCTGGATCAACCTGAACCCGGTTCGAGGTAACCCATTCCATGACAAACTCGCATTGCACAGCTGTCACCGAACCTTTTACGGCTCCGCGCAGGTAAACTCGCATCCGTGCACCCCTAAAGACAACATTGAGCTTGTCCTATGCGATACGTCCGATCGCAAAACTGTATTGAAAGATTCCAAGTCTCTTGCCGATATCAAGTCGTGCTACGACTACCAGTATTTTGGCCTTACAACACACGGTGCAGACAGCGTTGAAGGTCACACGGGCAACCTTCCAAATCATGTGGCAGAGGATACCGACTCCGACTCCGGATCTGACACGGACGGCTCCGAGTCGCGGGAGGTTCAAACCATGAAGTTCACGTATACCATGGGCATGACCGCTGAGTTCTCCGATGAACCGACCCCCGGTTTCGTACCGGCGCCGTCCACATCGTCAGTGATTCTTCCGCCTAGGCCAGAGAGTACCGAATCAGGACTAGTAGTTCCGCACAGGCCAGCACCATCGGACACCACCTCCACCACGTCGCGGGGGGGCTTTTTCACACCACCTGCGCCTGCACCTCGCGAAACAGACTGCCAGGATTGCAAGAAGCCACGAAAACCAGGAAACAGCCCATGCCTAGCCAGGGTCATTTACCCGGCAAGACGTCGCGTTCCTGCAGATCGGAACACTCCAGACGACATTGAGCCAACACATCTACCAACCCCACATCACTCAGTAATCCCAACACTTTGCAACATCGTCCGGAGGTACCACACTGGAGTCGACAATTGCGATGAATCGGCACTAGAGTCGTATGCTCGTGCCATATACCCCACAGTCTGCGACCCCGTGAATGCTTCACTCCTGATGGGCTTCCCATGCGAGGAGGTTATGGAGGAGATGAAGAAAGTCTACCCAGCCATCGATGCCCCGGTGATCTCCCGGGCCGCCTCATGCGAGTGCGAACCTGACTGCGACTTCTGCGGACACTTCAACGATACTTGCTACTGCGCAGGAGCTATTGCGGCGCCGATGCACGCGAGCGACCCATCTCTCCCGACGGATTTCGAATCTTTCCCCTTCACTCCTGACGATCAAAGGATCTGCCTGTATTCCCTGTGCGACCCAGAGATCCCCGGAGTCAGCTGCAATGACGCAGCCGACCTACTTCACGCCATTCTAACGCTCAACAACGAGAGTTACGAAGAATGGGTCTCCGAGACTATGCCTCATACCTGTGATGCTTACTCTGTTTTCAAGATGGCTACAGGCCAGCTTGCCATCTGCATCGCTGATCTCTGTGCGCACCACCCTGAGACATGCGACAATATCCAGACTCTTCTCACTTCAGGTACCAAGGCTAAGTTGGGCCTGGATGTCTTCTTCATCAAGCACCGCGCTGTCTGCGACCAGGTCCTCGACGAGAGTACCTGAAGCTTGGGCATGATCAGCGATATGGTGGACTGGGGAGCTTGATCGCCGTTATCGCTGTTATCGTTGGTTGTCTTTTTGCTTTCACCTCATGCCCTTAGCGTTCGCATAGCTTACCGTTTGTACTTTTGTTTGCCTTTTAACGCCGATTATTCTTCTCAATGCGATCACTTGGCTTTCAATATGCTCACATGCACTGTCAAATCGTGTGGTTGTATCACGTTCACTTTGCGAATGACCCCACAAGTTCCATGTCAAGACATGTATTTTCTAAGGAAAAGCCTCGTGCAAGCCCAAAGTCGGCCTCTGACCTTGGTGAGAGAGCGACAATGAGCTACTCTAGGCTATTACACTGACCACCAGACCCCATCTGCATACCTTGTACCTCTTGGCTTGACCTAAGCCTCCTTTTCCTCGCCCTCTCCACCCTCGCCATCGCCACCGTCACGCTCCGGTTCCGCGTTCTCATACTCCGTAATACTAGCGATGAACTCGGCCTCCGGCAGGTTCTTCATATCGATCAGCTTCTGGTAGTCCTTGCACAGCTCTTCGTGTCGCTCAAACTCCATCTCAAGCTCTGCATCGTTCTCTTTAATCTTCTCATCCAGGGTTTCGATGCGCTTCATGTCTAGAGTCGGTGCGAGCTTGGCTTCGCTGAGCTGCTTTCTCAGGGCCGCATGTTCATCATCCAACTTGGCGACGAGAGCTTTCTTCTTCTCGATGCGCTTCTCTGCTCGCTTGCAGGACTTCTCGTAGTAGGCTAGACGCTCGGCCATGGTGGCGTCGCTGGCGGGGGTGGTGTTGTTGTTGTTGTTGTTGGACATTGTTGGTATTGTGTTGTTGAGATTGGTTATTATCGTTGTAAGTTGTTCTTGTGTGATTGATGATGCTATCGGATGAAGTTCACTCATACACAGGAAGTACACCGTTTATATCCCGAACATCGCCGGTTTGTCTATTGTCTACGTTTGCAACTACAAGAAAGAACACTCCCAACTCTAACAACGCCTACCAAGACATGTTTGGAAAGACAAATAAAACCACAAGAAACCACAAGAACACCCTGATCAAAGACAACAACGAAACCCAGTCAGTCAGTCTACCAGCGAGTGTTTGTAAAGAAAGAAGAAACCACGCAAACTCCAATCAAATCCTCAAAGCAGTTCTACCCCAAACTCCGTAGTCCAGAAACTACCGGAACCAACGCCGATGCAATGCCACACCGATCTAGAGACGTCGCATACCATTAGAGGCCTGTCGCAGAACCTGGAGTAGAAACAAGATCATCAGGAGACGTACCAAGCATGCCGGAGCCAGGACCATGACGAGGACGGCCAGGACATCCATTCCATCAACAGGATATGGGTGAGGATGAATGGGCTGCGGCTGCGGCTCCTCGTCGATACCTCCAGGGCAGGTGGGTTCAGGAACAGGAGGTTCGGGCTCAGGTACGGTAGGCGCAGCTGCCGCTTCTGCCTGCTGAGCTGCCAAGACTTGTTCAATCATCTTCATGACCCCCTCCACTGTCAAGTTCTCGTCTCCTCCCTCTGCCTCCTGCTCTGAAGCGCCATCCGCAACGGCAGCAGCTCGTTCTGCACGGTACTCGGCACGGTGCTCACGTAGCCAGTGCACCAACGCGATAACGTTGGGGTATTCGACTTGACTGGGCCAGTTGGTGTGCAGCGGTTGGAGGATATCGTGGACGATGGCGCGATCATCGATGGTGAGAGCGAAGAACCAGGCGTCGAATTCGTGGGGGGAGAGTGTGGAGGCCTCTTGGAAAAAGAACTTGAGTTTTGCGACTAGTTCGCCGCGGGAGGCGGAGGGGGTAGCGCTGAGGACGACGCGTGGGTATGACATGTTGGTGGAGGTGGTGCTGGTTGTTGGTGGTTTGATGAGGGTTGGAATGCTGTTGTGATGGTATTGTGAGATGGAAGTGAAGATGTGATGCTGTGTTGATGTCTCCTCACTCCCACGAACATCTTCATCCTCTTATATCCCCCGTCCCCTGGCCCAAACTTCCTCACATACCCTCCTCCGTCACGTTGCAGCGTCACTCACTCCAGTCCACACATGCCCATCATCTGACCAAACCACAAAGTCTCAACAAAGTCTCATTAACTGATCTACGCATCTTCTTTCACCCACTTCCACCAAGCGCACCAAGCGCCGAACACTGAGCAATTGTCTTAAGCCCATGTCTTCTATTGCTTTGACCCGAAAATGCCAACTTTCATCTTCATAGGTGTCTTGGGTGTCAACGGCCCCCGCTCTGTCTCAGCGCCATGTTCCACATACATGCTCTTCTCGTCTGGCGGGTATGCGCTCTCTGCGTTTCTCGCGCATTGCCCAGCGCCCACTTCGATTTTGACGTGTCCGTCTTGGTCGCCCCGTAGGTTGACGATGAGGGACCCGTTGCCTCCGTCGGGATCGCTTAATAGCCAAATGTGCTTCATCCTCCTCCCTTCTCTCCGCTCCATGATGTCGTCGGCTGCAGCTGCGATGTCGCCTCCGCCTCTTGATGCAGCGACGATGAGATCACGTGGATCAAGGTAGTTGAAGCGGCCAAGCGCAGACCACGCTGCTGTGCGCACGGCCTCAAACACAACCGCGAGAATGATAACGAGATTTAGTGTGAAGATAGCGTAGATATAACTCGGTTGCCCAAACTGCAGCGCGTAGACGTAGACCTTCGCTGGTTGCTGAGTGAACATGCGTCCAACCATTAGCTGCGCAGAGGCATACGCAACCAACATATCATCAGCCATAGCAACCATGCTATTAGTAAGACCCGCGAGTGTTGCTTCTTCTTCAGTGAACGTCCGATTATTGAAAGTCTCTGACATCTTGTATGCCGCGATACTGGAATTGAACGCTTCGCCAAGCAGCGAAACATACAGATTCGTCATGTCGTTAGACATGAGCTCGAATTGCCGCACAACCGTGCGCGTGACGTTTCGCTGAGGATTAAAATCGGGCATGGTGCGCACGGGCTTGACGGTGATGTTGAGATTGCCGACGTCGACGGTGACGTTGAATAGTGTGGGGGTGAAGTCGAATTCGCATTGCGTGGTGTTGAGGAAGGAATAGGCTGAGCCTGCAGCGATGGCGAGGTAGCGGCGAGGCGAACGGTCGCTGTACGCTACGCCCATCGCTACGATGGCTTTGCCGTCGTGGCCGATGTAGTTTGAGTATTCCGGACCTTCTTCGCTGTCTGGCAGATTCCCAGAAGCCGCATAGATCCATTCGTTGACTGGTCCGGAAAGAGTGAAGTTGGAAGTTGCGTTGTATGTGCAGGTGACGTTTGCCAGATAGCCCTCTTCTTGGTAGATGTATCCCGCAACCTGGCTGTTCGACCTGATTCCTTGGTCCATGAGTCCGATAGATGCACCGACCCCATATGAACGTCCTCGGTAGCTGAACTGAGTGTTGTCGAGTTTGCGATGGACATGGGGCCCGCCACCCAAAGAAGACGCCTGAGCCGCTGATGCCAGAAGCTGACTGCTCTGTTGCTGGCCAACCGAATATGTGAAGAAGCCCTTTTGCGTGCGCAGCGACGGTCCCGAACTGCCAATCATCATCGGATATTCTTTGATCATCGACACGTCCTCGTAGCTTGGGATCAAAAGCATGCCGCTGTCCACCGTCCGCGATACCGATGGTGTCATTGAACCAGCCCAGAGCGCCGCAGGCACAAGACTGAGAAGAACGACGAATACGGAGGGAAAGAAGAACCGTAGAGGCAAGTCCCAATCCACGCGCATGATGCTCATATCCACCCAAGTGCGCAACACATCCAGGGAAACGCTGACCTTGTTGAGCCGCAATCGAAGCGCATAGTTGATAAGCTTGCAGATAACCGCGAGATGCAAAAGTCCAAAGAAGGCGGCGAGAAGCTGTACGACCAATGCAGCGGAACCTGGGAACCTATTCGCAAGAGTGAAGAGTTGACCCGTAACTCTGCATTCGTTGAGCTGCGCCAGCAAAAGTACCGTCGAAAGCGTCGTCGTAAACGAAAGTCCGTAGAAAGTATTATACCGTCCCCAATGGCTATACCGCACCGTCCTGCCATCATCTCCCGTATCCCTCCGATCCCCTGGTAAGAACGTGAATTGCCGAACCATTACAAAAGATTAAAAAAAACGAGCGAAAAAGGGACCGGCCAGCGGTTACGAAAAGAACGAAAAACCTTCAAGGTGGATGGAGAACGAGCGACGAAGATGGCAAAAAGCGAAAGGAATCCTCATGTTGGCCATCTTAGACGGTGGTTGAGGTGTTTGGGCATTGGCATGCCAGGCTACCCGTGTTACCAGGCAAGTGTTGACAGTTGTTGTATCAGGTGCGGCGAGATTTCATGCCTGAGACGATGGATCCACTGTGATCGTGGCTGCATGCGGTAAGTCTTCACATAATTCTGAGGATGTGCATGATCTTATACAAGGACGAGATATCGTTATTGTGCAGATATCCAGCTGAAGGACGACGGGTTCTCCTTGTTGCGTTCTTGTGTTGCTCTTGTCGGGTTGGCAGGTAATGCGTGTTACTCGATGGAGGAGCGCAGCATGAATATAGGGCTTAAAGCATTGTGCAGTTTCGTATGCACTGAACGGTATAGGCCTTCTGCTAACTGAGCGTCGGACGTTGACTGCCGAAGGTGCCTGGGAATCGTAGATGAAGTGTCCCAGGTACCTAGGTCTGGGAGCCGCAAGGTGTTGCGCCATTGAAACCCGGTGAACGGTTCATCTGGCGCATCGCAAGAAAATTGGAGCACGTCGCTGACTGACCAATAAGCTGGATCGCGTGAGCTCGAGTATAACGAGAAGGATGAAGAGTATCGTGCATAACACATAACGCGACCGCGTCGCACACTGAGACCCACCCGATCACGACCGTCGATGACATCACCAACTCCAATTTCCATGTTCGACATCCAGCTCCCAACGCGCAATTGCATGCGCAACAAAAACGCGTCAACGCCATCCACCCAAACCCACCAACAAGCCAATCCAAATTCCAACAAATACCGACCATCACAACTCCCCTCCCTCCCCCTCGGTTGGACGAACCAACCAACCACACCCAAACACCCTACCGCCAAGCCACCCACCTGAAACCCCCCACCATACCCAAACCAAGCTTAGCGCATCTCTCCTGCCACTCAGAACCCGTTTGATCTACGCGGGCCCCCTAAGCTCCTTGACTCCTGCATATCGTATATTGCCATCTTTGCCGTGCCATCCATCGCTATCTGGCATTTTGTGGATTCTCTACATCGAGGGATAGCTTAGATAGCTTAGATAGGAGAGATGCCGAGGTAAAAGATTTCTGCATTCCTGGTTACGGGTTACGGGTTAGATGTGGGACATGGCATGGCGTATTTATTCCCAGGTTTACTGATGCTGATGCCGGTGGGATTTATTGGACTCGGATCCGAACATGACGAGGGTGCATGGAGGTTGTGAGGCAGCCCTTCCTGCTTGACCGGCGCGACTCAGCCGTCCTCAGACTCATTGTTCAGCTGGTGATATATTGGCTGCGGAGGCTCTGTAGCAGGTATACAGGTGAAGTGTGCATTTGAAGTGTCATGTGTGGTCGGCAAGGTGGTCAGCCTATTGTGGCTGCGCATGCGGCCCGCAGAAGGTGTCGTGCAAGGCAGAACGACTGGCTATCATCGCGAGTTAGAGAGCATGAGATTTACTGGGGTCTCGGATGGCGTTGTGGCTGTACTGTGTAGTTGTGTAGGAGTAGTGACCGGTGTAGTTCATGCTGTGTTTATGTGGATAGAACATTTATGCCTAGCTGAGTATTATGCTGCACCCTGTATGCAGTCTTGTCTGCTCATCTTCCGCATCGCGCGAATTACCGCACAGCGATTAGATCGCCCTGTTTGGGTGCGGCATGAGAAACATCATGCGATGCGAGAAATATTGGACAAAGTCGCGTATTGATGAATCGCGTCAAGAAAGAGCGTGCGCCACCAAACCATGGACCTATCTGTAAGTGAAATCCGTCCGCACTAGCTAGATAAGATACCCGTCCCACACACTAGCGCGCATGTCAGACCCCAATTTACGGAAATTGCGAACCGCGAAGGGGATACACGGGAGGGAGAGTCATTCAATCACACTGACAGAGGAGAACGCCCGTTGCCAAGAATATACTTTCCGAGACGGAGACGGAAACAACACGAGACGGAAGAATTGTGTTTTGAACAAAATGTTTTATTTTTCCTTTTTTCCCATTACTCGCAAAGACATCTGACAAGTCAGAGGACCCGCGGTATATAGTTATTTGTGGGCTGTGAGAAAGCTATAAGAGAGCTAAACTACTATGAGGCGGTCGCGCCGAGAATCGCAATATAGATGCGATTCAAGATTCCGATCTGATTGATATCCCAACGCCGGTACAATGCTGTGCTATGCAAATGCTGAGATTGTGTTATAACGCCGGCCAATGCAAGAAGAGATGACGAGATGGGCGAAGAGATGTCCATCCAGTGAGCATCTTTTCATCAGATCATGTCATTGGGGAACAATAAGGAAAGTCGTTAGGCTGTTGAAGCGAGGGTGGTGGGGTAGCGAATAGCATTAATAGGTAGTCTGGCGGCCGGCGTAGGCACCGGTCTGGCCAAACATCCTGCTGAAGATGCCGCCCGCAGAGGTCTTGACCTTCTTTGACGGCTGGGTGTCGTACAGCGGGAGTGCGTGTTGCTGCTTGGGGACGTACGAGTGAGGGCCATTGATATATACAACGTTGGCGCCCTGGTCTGCGTCGTAGCGCTGGAGGATCGCTTCTGAAGGCTCGTCGTGAAGGCTGACGGGTGATTCGGAGGAGGTGGAGACCGAGGAGCTTCGGGTAGGTGGTGATAGAGATGGTGTGCGCGATGGTGCGCGGGAGGATGGGATGTAGCGTGGTCCCCTCTGGGGCCGAGGAGCATATGAAGACAGGGAGGACTGCGACGCATATGGGTGGACTGAGCGCGAGAGGTTCTCGGCGGTGAGCTGGTATTGTTGACGGGCAAGCTCCTTCTCCTTCTCTGCGAGCCTGGCCTTCTCGGCCTGGCGGGATTGCCAGACACGGATGGGCGCTAGGAAAGGCTCGAGGTGGTAGTGGAGGTCCTCGGTGCTGATGCGGAGATCCCAGTCAAGGAGGAACAGAAGCTGCTTCTCCATGAGGTTGACCTCGGTGAGAGAGAAGCCAAAGTTCTCGTAGCCGCGAACAGCGCTGTACCTGGCCCAGTGCTTGTTCTTGGGCGAGGAGTCGTTGAGGTTCTTAGCCGCAAGGATGAGGGAGGCGAGGAAGATGCGGTGGACGGTGCATCGCATGCCCTTGGCAACGGGAGGAAGGCGCGACCGTAACCTGCTGAGGTAGACGAGCGAAGTCATGAGGGTGGCAGTCTGGACATGTGACCTCTCGACGATGGATGTGATGAACTCCTCCACTGAAGGCAGGGCAGGCTCGCGGATGTTGGAGGCAGCATGCTGGGGTGGCGAGGCTGGTGGTGTAGGAGGGAGGTTCTTGTTGATGGAGGGTTCGCAGCGGATGACTTGTGTGGCCTTCTGCGCAAGGTACGAGATCATGTCATGTGACACCGGGAGCTGGATGAAGTGGTCCAGGGCAGCCGTGTTCTCGGCGACGAGGTTTGGTGAGTAAGGCATGATGTTGATGGAGTAGTAGTCCCGAAGGTGATGTGAAGTCTTAAGTGAATGTCGAACTGTATGTGGATGCCGTGTATGCCCTGTAGTGAGGCGTAGTCGGAATTCCGGTCTGAACGATGGTAAGCGGGAGTCCGAGGCTGCGTGGCTGACGACGAGGTTGAGTCGGCAGAATAGACAAGGCAACAATTATTAAGGTGAAGGTGAAGAGTCCGAGTCCAGTCGGAAGGTGCAAAGCGATTGAAATTTTACGGGAGATGGCGCTGCCAGTCTGGGAAGTCGGAGGGAAAGTCGGTGGTGGAGCGCGAATCACTGCCGGAGTGTGGAGAATGGCACCTGCACCGCTAGGATGACAGGAGGAAAGAAGGGAGGATGGAGAAGTGAAGCCGGTGACTGACTGTGAGGAAGAAGTATCGACGGCAGGCGGCGTGATACTTATTTCGCAGGCCCCTTGAGCGGGTAGCGATGCGTTTCCAAGTCGAGGGTCGGATCCTTTGGGGTGGTGGTTCGGCGGCTGCGTGTGGGATCCAATGGATGGAGCTCACGCACAGGAAACAGCTACGTAGCGCGCCACGCCGGACTCAGGCCAGCGGCTGTTTGGCCCGTTTGGGGTGCCTGGAAGATTGCGAGTGGTGAGGTGCAGGACCCCAGGAATAGGCTGTTTCAAGTCCAAGCCAATGGTTTGCACGCAGCGCAGGGCCCTCTAGGCGTGCGAAATTGACAGCCAATAGAGCCGTGATGCGAATCGCGTTTCGAAGGCGGTCGAGTATGTTTTAGATGGATGCAGGTTGGAGTCGAGGTGTTGGAGTGGAGTGCGCGAAATATTGGGTTGGTACAGACACGACGTTTGCTGCACTGCAGGCCTCGAGTTTGCGGCAGCAGCGACCGCTATGTACTGCGACAATCACGGTGCTTGTGGAAGGCTGGCCGGAACTAGAGGGTCTGCTGGCCTCGTAGCTGGGTCACGTTGCCGGGTTGGGAGACAGATATTGAGGCGGTGAGTCGGGTTAGGT